ACACGTGTCGAATTGAGCTTTTTGTCCCCCGCTATCGCGGAAGCGAGGGGACATTAAATCTCATTCTTCTGTCCGTCAGTCTGTCAGTCCGTCACAAAAACTTTAACCTTGCCCATATCTTTTGATTTAGTGGAGCTATGACTTTCATATTTCACATGTGTATTTCTAGTGGCAAGACCTTTCATTGGATACCAACAACTTTGACCTTTTGACCTTGACCTTGGAGATTTACGTACTTATGAAAAAACTTTTACCTTGACCATAACTTTTGAATTGTAAGGGCTAGGGCTTTCAAACTTCCTTGTAAGAAGACCTTTCATTGGATACCATGAACTTTGACCCTTTGACCTTGACCTTGGAGTAATACCTACTTTTCAGAAACTTTGACCTTGGTCACAACTTTTGAACGGTAGATATTAGGACTTTCATATTTTTTTCACAAATGTATTCATTGTGGCAAGACCTTTCATTGCATACCAACAGCTTTGACCTTTTGACCTTGACCTTGGAGATTTCAATACTTATGAAAAACTTTAACTTTGATCATACTTTTGAATGGTAAGGGCTAGGGCTTTAATACTTCACGTATGTAATTCTTGTGAGAAGACCTTTCATTGGATACCAAGAACTTTGACTTTGACCTTGACCTTGGAGTTTGACCTACTTTTCAAAAACTTTTACCTTGGCCATAACTATTTAACGGTTAAGGTTAGGGTTTTTACCCTTCACATATGTATTACTTGTGACCTTTCGTAAGAAATCAACAACTCAGACCCTTTCATCTTGAAGTTTGACATACCTTTCAAAAATTTATCCTTGACCATAACTTTTGAACAGGTGGTGCTAGGAATTTTGTATTTCACAATCGTATTTCTTGTGAGAAAACTCTACTTTGGGTAATAATATATTTCATTTGGATTTAATTTAATCAAATTAAGTTTAATCTTCGTTATGTTGCCTTACGGGGTCATTAGTGTTTCACAAACACATCTTGTTCCTTATATTGAGAAATGGCTTTCATATTTGACATGTGCATTACCTGTGACAAGATATTCCAAGCATGCTTTGATTTCGTACCCCTTGACCTTGACCTTCACAATTGACCTTATTTTAAAAAAAAATCAACTTCAGTGATAATTTCTAAATAAATGACATATGATGGGGTGTTCATATTAGACACAATATATCATAAAAAATGACATCTCACCCACAAAGACACAGAAAGCGGGGGACCACAATTCTTTGAATTTGCTTGTTTATCATTAAATTTATCCAGCGTCCGTCTAGCTGTCTGTATGAGAGGCTGATTTGGTATTTACAGCTTTTAAGTGATATCATCTGTTCCAAATATTTAATAGTGGAATAGTTGATATACCTATTCAGTTTGAATGAGTGATATCACCTATTCGAAAAGGAAATATCACATATTTAAATAAGTGATATCTCTTAATGGCAATAAATGCCAAAACGGCGCTTCATTTGTCTGACCATGCCTCATTTGTCTGACCGTGTCTCAATTGTCTGACACTGCCTCATATGTCTGACCATGCTTCCGCTGCATTTCATTTCCGGAAATATGCATAGCATTTCCGACATATTTTTTTATTTCATTTCCGACATTTTTTGTTTTCATTTCCGGAACTTACCTGTGCGGCAATTCAATGTTATTTTAGTAAGTAAAAATGGAATTTTAAAAGTATTTATTACAAAATATTGATAAAAAACATTTACACATATATGCATATATGTAGCTCTAGATAAAAGAGTTCAATGAGCATAAACTTTTTCACCAAATCTGATGTGCACCAAATTTAATGTCAGTGACAGCACCACACTTATGTCTAAGTCATTGATAGATTTACAAAACTCAGATATTGGATTTCAATCATTTATTTATGATTTTTTTTCGTTATATTTTTCATAAGAAAAGTCTTCAGATCTCTTACTAAAAGTACTACATATAAATTTGAAAATTGTCGGAAATGAAAGCAAAAAAATGTCGGAAATGAAAAATAAAAAATGTCGGAAATGAAAAGTTGATAATTACGAAAAATTCGAATGAAATGCAGCCCATGCCTCAAATATTTGACCGTGCCTCATACGTCTGACCGTGTCTCATACGTCTGACCGTGCCTCATACGTCTGACCGTGCCTCATATGTCTGACGTGCCTCATTTGTCTGACCGTGCCTCATATGTCTGACCGTGTCTCATTTGTCTGACCGTGCCTCATATGTCTGGCCGTGCCTCATACATGTACGTCTGACCGTGCCTCATATGTATGGCCGTGCCTCATACATGTACGTCTGACCGTGCCTCATATGTCTGGCCGTGCCTCATACGTCTGACCATGCCTCATGCATGTACGTCTGACCGTGCCTCATATGTCTGGCCGTGCCTCATACATGTACGTCTGCCTCAAATGTTTGACCGTGCCTCATACGTCTGACCGTGTCTCATACGTCTGACCGTGTCTCATTTGTCTGACCGTGCCTCATATGTCTGGCCGTGCCTCATACGTCTGACCATGCCTCATACATGTACGTCTGACCGTGCCTCATATGTCTGGCCGTGCCTCATACATATACGTCTGATCGTGCCTCATATGTCTGATCGTCCCTCATTTGTCTGACCATACCTCATTTGTCTGACGTGCCTCATATGTCTGGCCGTGCCTCATACATGTACGTCTGCCTCATATGTCTGGCCGTGCCTCATACGTCTGACCATGCCTCATACATGTACGTCTGACCGTTCCTCATGTCTGACCGTGCCTCATATGTCTGACCATACCTCATTTGTCTGACCATCATAAAGTTTAGACTTCTTCTCAAGAACCACTGGGCAAATTTTTACAAAGCCATGATTAGTCATATTTATGATACCATCCTCATGTAATCTAGATTGAGATTTGTTCATAGCATAAGTGAGCGTTGTGGCCAATGGGCATTTTCTTTCAATGGAAAAAAAAATCATTTTTCATGCACATGCTCTCGTGACTAGTGTTAATTCATTATTTATAATTGCGAATTATAAAACCACACTATGTAAAGTATTAATATGAACAACTTGTGTAAAAGAAGAAAATAAAAAAATTCTGTAATGCACGATTCATTGTTGCTTTCAATGTCTCTTTAACTTGGCGAAAGATGAATCCTGTGACAAAAAGTACACTGTAATCGGTAAAATAAAAGTTTCTTTGAGTAGTTACGCCTTTGATGATGGGACAGGGGTGACAACGTGATTACCTGCTATTATACACTGGTCAAAAGTAAACTTGAATTATGCAATAGGGCTGGGCAATAATATCGATATTTCAATATATTGCAATACAATGACAAAAAATATCGTATCGCAATACGATTTTGTAATATCGATATATTGGCAATATGCTTAGATTAAGGAATTTTATTAATAAATATAAGAATGGACTTATGAAAGTTTGTTATTAAGCCAAACAGTACGACAGAAGTTGTTTTGTGGAAACATTTCAGAGCATAACTTTAATGAAATCAACAATTTTTTTGCCAGTGTTGGTTACTTATCATAGTTATGTACATTCTGCATGTAAATTAAAAGTAAATTTAGCAAGAAAATGCCATTTAAATTACATAAAAAATATTGCAATACATATCGCAATACAGTTTCAAATATCGCAATATATCGCAATACGAAATCTCGGGCCAATACCCAGCCCTATTATGCAAATTAGCTTCCTGATAATTTCCACAAATTTTACATTATCAATCATAAAATGTCCTCTTCTGACTTTCTTTTGCATGTGTTTACGATTTTCTAATCATGGTCAAACATGCAAGATGTGTTGTCAACAAAAATCTTTAAATGGTCATGGTGACATGGTCCAATCTTTATCGTATTGAGATTTTATTTAAAAAAAACAAAACAAGCCAACAGTCATGCAAAAAAATAATAGATATCAAGATTTCCGGAATTATTGTGTGATCTTTTTAGTGGAGAGTGGTGAAAAAAAAAACATCTTGAGTATAAATAATATATTTTACTGCATCTATGTCAATCGTTGGGAAAATCCAACCACGCATGTACCTCTCTCTCTCTCTCTCTCTCTCTCTCTCTCTCTCTCTCTCGTAATTCTGTAAATAAAACTAGAGAGATACATGTAGCTTAATGTGTCCTTTGAAAATTATACCGCAAAATTTTACTAGACAAAAAATAATTCAATAAAGTAAATAAACATAGGGTAAAAAATCGTACTTTCTTCGTCGGTTGATCTTTTTATGTTACATGACCAGTGACGTCCAGAGGACTATATATAGCCGTATGACGTATATATCATAAACTTGTCCGAAGACAAAACAGTCATAGCCTTATATAGCTATTAATATAGTACTCTCTGTAATATTAACATTTTATATAGTATACTTTACTTGCTTTTAAGTACCCCCCCCCCCCCGCTCCAAAGTAAATTCCTCATATGTATGTGTAAAATAATTTATATAAAACCAAAAGGTTGTGGATCTTAGAATTTTTTTTATTTATTTATTTGTTTTTTTTTTTTTTTTTTTTTTTTTTTTTTTTGTTTAAATCCAAGCTTGTCAAACAAAGTTTACGTTTATATGAGGCGACACACAGTTTTCATCACAAATACAGTTTTATCCTTTATTTACTCCGAAAGAACATAGTTAAGAATATAGAGAAGGAAGAGAAAGTGGAACAAAAAGATTAGTAAAAGTGAGAGTCAGCCAAGTATTTAACGTATGATGAAAATAGAAGAAAAAGAAACGCGAGCTAAAAAGACAGGAATTTAATTTTCCCGCCATTAAACAAATTTTCCAATTTTATGCGAACATTGAAAAACAATCCATTTTTGTAAATTTTTTAATCACAGCAATTTACTGAAAAATATTAACTAAATAGATCTTAAGAGTCAACCAAATGTTTTGCCATTTTTGGCAAGCTTCATTCATGTTAATAAACGTGGTATTTCGATCGGTATTATCCGCCAATTTCCGGTGCGGAAAAACATGGCTGCTCTGACGCCATGTCCAGAAAGAAAATGACGATGTAAAATTGGAAATTGTCCATATGAAAGGCCACACTCGGCCCCCTTTTCTAGATTTTGTACATATTTTAGTAATTTGCAGACTGTATTTTGTGAAAAGAAGGCTTCAAAGATATTTGGGGCTTTCGATTTTATGTTAATGGATTAATATGAATCTAGACTCTTTATCATTTGCTTTGGCTGAAATAAGTTATTCAGTGGCCAATCTAACGAAGAAAAATTTTAAGTCTAGCGTCGCTGAAATAAGTCATGTAAGTATTTTCCTTATAAAACCTCTCTTTGATTGTTTATTTGGAGGTTGGATTGTTTAAGTTATACACATTTGACGAACAAAGGAATGGTCGGTCATAATAAATCCGTCCCATATCACCAAGGACATTATTTGAGGACTGATGTATTGAATTCAAGAGGTCTAAGAGGTTCACATACTGCTAAATTCTATAGAAGGGTACAATTTTTTGACACAATATTTAAGACGTCATGACATGGAGTTGTTCATTCTCTATCAAATGAATTTCATTGTAATACAATACTTATGACACTAGATAACATTTTATAACATTGAAGAGTTCTGCTGTTGCTGTTGCCTTGATGGTTTGGGTAAGATAAGGATAAATCCATCTTTGGATGGTTTCTGAGGACCAACCAAATCTCTTGCTTGAATGCCAGACTATAATAATCAGTCAATTATTGTGCTTGGACTTACCTTAGTCAGGAATTCCTCCTTTGACTTAAAACTTGAAATTTCTGATGATGGTCTTAAGTGCTTGCACTAGCAATTAATGCCACACATTGGTTAAAGTGATTTACTCTAGAATTTCAAAGTAAGGAGTGGGTTAGTACTTGACTGCCAGAAATGAATGACTGCCTGATACTTACAAAATTGTTTAAACTAAGGTCCCATGATGGTGTTGCAGAAGGTCCTGGCTTGAAAAAGTCCTGCTCAGCACAATTTGTCGAGTACTGATCTAAATTTGCAACATTCCTCCAGATAATGATGGTCTCCTGACCTGATTAGAAATATTTTAAGCGTTGTTAGACAAAAAAAAAAAACATGAAAAATACAACCAATTCAGACTTGTCGAAATCCATTGGTGCTGTTAGAAAAGCCAGTAAAAATTGTCTGGACCAATAACCTTAAAGAAAATGTCGGTCCAGATGACTGTTTTAAAAAATGAAGCATGATGCAGATTTAATAAAGTCGGGATCAAGATGTGCAGCTGAAGGCCACAAACACAAAAAAGATGGTGTGTTGATGATGGTCAATTTAATTTATTATAGCAAAGTCATAAAACATGTCATTTATATATTTCTCTATCCCAAGAAAGGAAATATGTAAGATTGAAGGCTGTTGAAATAATATAGTCAGTGTTTTGACTTTTCCCTTTATTTTAAAGCAAAAGGTTAGAGATCAGGCCACAGTTCAAATATTGTTGGTTTGGCGTTGCCGACCCAGCCTTAATGCCTTTGGGTCGGTAGGTAGGAGAATTTTTTTTTTTTCAATTTCAGAAATGTTGTTAGTTTCCGGGCGTCATGGGTTTCTGATTGTTTAACAACAACTGCAATCGGAATTGATTTCCAGTTGTTATTTATTTTCAAAACCTATTAGTTTTAAAGCTTTAATATACATGGCATAAAAAATCACAGTTTTTGAAGATTGGCATAAAGTTGTTTTCTTATGCACGAATCCAAGCATGGCCGCTAGATTCATTTACAATGTAGCAAATCGGACATAACATTGTACCTGAAATTTCTAATTCAGACTGGTATAACTGATTCGTCAATATATTTTCCCCATAACATGCATTACCGCGGAGAATCATGCCATATGCATCAACTTCTGTTATGCAGAGTTTACCGCGTTTGACAGCCATGCTTGGCTTTGTGATACGCATATTCAACATCACATAGACACTTTCAGATGAAAACTGTTCGATCAATCAAGGGTTTACGATTTTTTTCCTATTTTATATATTACTCAAACGTACAGACACCTAAATCCGGACATATAGAACGAAAAAAAAAATTACGATCCGTATCAGTTGAAAAAAATTCTTCGGACCGCAGCCATTTACCTGAGTCGGCCGGCAACGCCATACAAAGCTAATTTTATTTTTGGCCTCAGTTGTAACAGGCTTATGAACAGAATCTCTGTGGACCTTGTAACAAATTTTTATTTAAAAGCGGCGTTTTTGTCAATTGAAGCGGTCAATTTGGCCGGTAGCTGGTTCTTAGGGAAATGCTGAATAAAGGTCTTTTTGGTGCTTTTATTCATATTCTCTCTGCATCAAAGTGTATATCTGGTCTGACAAAACTTGGTCCAATCCAACAGATCATTTGACTTTGTCAGATCAGATGTCTGATAGTGATTTAAAAATTTCGACAAGTGTACGTAATGATAACTGATTGAAAAAATATATATGTACTGATTATTATTATTAAGCCAAATGTCTCATTATAGACAACTTATAGCTAAACTCTCTACTTTCAGCTTGTAAGTCAACACGGTGCAGAGGCAGATAGACACTTGTTTCGCTGTCTTTTTTCTCATGTAGACTTCAGTGGTGATGGTAGAAGCAGTGGAAAAGATTTCCATCAGGTTTGTTACATATCCTATTGGTTTGACTATTGTGCTTAAACAGATTTAAATGGAATATGTTTTTTCCTTGTCACTAGATATTTAGTGTATTTAAAAAGAAAGTACATGTTTCTTCATTTTTCAGACTCAGTTTTTGATACAAGAATTTGGAAATCTTCTGGGAAAACCAAATTTTGTATCGACTCTCTGTTACGCGATTGACAACCCTCTTCATCATCAAAAGGTAAATTTCTAATATTCATATTAATCTGAAGAAACCTTAAAACTTATTTACCTTTTTGGATAAAAAAAAATTGACAGACATGGAAGTTTTTAAAATGGTATTTATTTATGCTTTTCATAATTTTGCTTGAAAGACTAATTTTTTTGTGCAATGTACTATCAGTACACTTTCAACATTGCTTTGTAAAACAGTATTTTATCTGTATCATCTGTATAATTCTAATGTCATGAAGGAACACAGACTTGTACCTGAAAACAAACTAATCATGTAGGAAATAAGCATTAAGTTATGCTTTCTTTTGTAAAAAAAATATTTCTTGGGAATCAGTCTGACATCAATACGTGATTTTTCCCATTCTATCTGCATCACGATTTCTTGTAAAACTATTTTCATATGCAGTATGCTTGATAATGTGCACATCAGTATGATTTATAATGTGCACAGAGACACACATGAGTAGACACACAAGTAGTACAGTATAATTTGTCCAAACCGGCTACCACCGGTTCCATAAAATTTGGCCGGTTTAGACAGAATCCGGAGTGCAGGAAAAATGCAGGAAAATATCAATTTCGAAAATTTTCGTTGTTTATTTACAAGTACATCATACACAAATTATAAATAAAATTAAATGATGAAATCAATCAATATTTTGGAGTCTAGAAATTATATAATAGTCTCACATGACTTACTGTACTTTCTTATTTGTTCACGAAGTTTGCAAGTCGGGTGAAATGTTACCTCAATCAAAATATACAGGCACGCATAATACAGGCCTACTATGTATCAAGCGGACCGGGTTTCGCTTGTCAAAGACCTCATTCAATGTACCGGGGTATTAACAGTAATGCACAATTATTTACGAGGTGCTAAATATTAGATTGAACTTTTAATTTATATGTAAAAAAAAAATACGTCTTCCCCAACAGTGTTATCATGTTATGGCATTTTGACATTTATATTTTGATTTGTAAATCGCGTACATATATTTTTGTGTTTATGTTATAATATGGTAAAAGGAGTTAAAACTCATATGATATATTTTTCAAGTGGACTGTGTCATCGCCGCATTTCATGGCACTATGCTAATGTAAACACAGATTATCACATCCACCTCGAAAGGTGTTAATTGCTTTGAAGTAACTCAGGTGTGGCCGGATTAGAGGGAATAATTACCGTTAATTATGAGCAGTTGGGACCAGTAAGGCCGTTCGGAATACAGAATAGACAGTATCCGGACTATACAGAATTTTTTTAAATGAATTTGTTAAAGAAGTGCATGGGACTAAAATTTATAGACGGAATGGACAAAAGTCCGGAGTACTCAGAGTCCGGATTAGACAAATTTTACTGTATTTCCAATTAAACTGATTTTTGTGACATGATATGAATAGAGAGTATGTGATTCAAGCAGAGATAAATACTATTTATCTTTTTAATACAGAAGTACTACATAACAATTTAAAGGGTAGCATTTTAGGGAGTAAAGACATTTTACTAAAATCGTCATTGTTACAATAGCTAAAGTATTGACATGAGCCTTGATGCATGACAGTCTCACTACTCTTGCGCATTTTGCTCTTTGTTGCATGAATGCAGCTTTGGGTCTCAGAAAGCCTGAATTAATTGCTGGATTGATTGATCTTGATGGAGGTCTGTGTTGTACATTCTCTGACTTTGCCTGTTGTAGAGTTTGAAACCATCATCACAGCTCTTTACTCAAGTCAGTCGTGTCTTGAAGCTAACACGAGTTCAAGAGGTCGTGTTTGGATTAGCTCTCCTTAGTTCCTCCAACTCTGAAACCAGGAGCTATTCTACCCAGTTTGTCAAACAAAAGTTGCCTGATCTCATCAAGTCCTATGTTGATGCAGGTTTGTATCATGAGTTGCAAAATTTGATCATCTTTTTCAAGCATGTTGATTGTTCATCTTTATGTTGATCTTGTTTGCTAAATACTACAATACATATTCAAGTATATGCAGGCAAAATTGAATGTAAATGTTTTACTGACAAGTAATGGCTCCTTTTTTTCTAAGCATGCATGAATGAACTTTATGAATTTAATGAATTGAAAAGAATTTGAATGTATGAATTGATCTAAAACTTTTTTACACGCATCTGCTCTTGAAACCTAATAAAATAGGTACAATTTTAATGAAGGGAAGCAGGGAAGGGTTATTGGAGCGGAGCCTTGATCTTCCTAATTCAATTGGGGTTAATTTTGACATCAGTCTAGATAAAAACATTCAGAACTAAGTTGCGACAGAGAACATATTAATAAAACTGTCCTGGAACTAAAACTGACAATGTGATACAGCACTTAAAGGAATTTAAACTGCTTTGATGAAAATTAGTTTTTAATCCCAATCTTTTGAATTAATGGTTGAGATTTTGATTTACAGACAGTAGTTTAAGACAGGAGGGAGGTTTACAGGACGTCCCCATTGAAGTTGTTCATCTTTTGTTAACAAGCCTGTTTAAATGTAAAGACAGTTTTGGGATAGGAACAGAGCAGAAAGACGTTTTCATTAGAACATTAAAGAAAGGTAAAAGGAATATTTCAAAAATTTGTTGAAACATCTGCTTAACTTGATATGAATATTGAAATATAATCCTGATAATGATGAATTATGAGTTAATTTTAAGTTGGAATGCTTGCAGATTTTCCTTTTGAGAGGGTCCCTGTGATACTTGGACCATTGTTATACCCCGACGCAGAAGATTTATCTGTTGAGAAGTTAGCAGACACTTCCGCAATGCCCAAATCTGCTGTAAGTATAGTATCAAAGAAGTACAATATTATTTGATTTTTTTTCTGTTTAAAAATAAATGTTATGACTTTGAGATTTGTCTTTTAGCTAAATGCTTCTCTGGCTGAAATGATATTGGAGGCAGGTTACAGTTGTACATCAAGGTAAGAATATTTATATCAACAAACACTATTTAATCTTTATTTGTACAAACCTTTCTTTTAAAAAAGTTGTCCACAATTTATAAATTTTTAAGTAGTATTTCTTTCAGAAAAACTTATTGGGAAGTATTTTTTTTCAGTGTGGAAGAATGTCGGGCAAATTTGATGCAGTTTGGAGTAAGGGAGATCACCCCATCTTCTGTGGCAAAAGTCCTGGGCATGATGGCCAGAACACCGTCAGGTCTGGATGGACAAAATATTCAACAGGTACTTTCTAACTTACCTACTGTAAATCACTAAATTTTCGTGAGATAGTCATTGATTCTTTATAAGCGAGACAAAATTTTCACGAATTGTGGTCATTGCTCTTTATAATCTTAAGGAATGATATTATACGCGAGCATACTGTCTCGCGTAATTATGCGAAAATAAAGTTCTCGTGAATAAAAAGTGATTTACAGTATATTTATGCTAGGGTGATAACACATTTTTGTCTAACTTATGTATGCTAGGGTGACATTGCATCTAGAGAACTAAATTTATTTTCTATTGCAGACAAGCATGGCCCCAGGGTCAGGCTGGGGAGATATGGGGGACAAGGGAGATAAACCAGGATTCAATACGTGGAATGTAGAAGTCTTCGTCACAGTCACACAAGACCTGGTATATTATTGATTGCTATTTTTCCTCTCAGCAGTTTAAATTTTTGTTTTAAAGTAAAACTTTTTCAGGTTTGAAGAGCAGGTTCATGCGCATTTATACATCATAATTTCAATCACATCAATGAAACCATAAAAGTAGACAGTTATTTTTTAAATTGACTTGTAAATATTTGCGGAATGTCACTTTTCAGGCCCCACATTTGAACTGGCGAGATGTTGTAGCAGAGCTGGACCATCCAACATTCTTTGTTGTGAACAAGAGAGGTCTAAGACTCCTAATCCAGGGTCTGAATCGTGGCCTTCAGGACATGTTCCCCATAGAACATATCTACAGACCATGGAAAAACACAGAGGGACAGGTTAGTGTGAGGGGATAATGCTCAAAATTTGTCACTTCAGAATACATTATTCTGAAGTAAATACATATTTTGATTGTGATAGTGTAGCTTATAGAAATGTGTATTGTTTTTTCAGTTGTCTTTCATTGTCCAGTCATTGAGGAACCCTGATGTTTTCTGTTTTGCTGACTACCCTTGTCATACTGTGGTGATTGATATACTGAAATCTGCCCCAGATGATGACAACAGAGAAATCGTCACATGGTAGGTTTAGGCACTGATCAGGGGTTTCATTTTCCTCAGCCTTTTGAAATGTCACTTTCAAAATTTGCTAGGGTTTCCTTCCAGTTTTTTTCCTCCTATTTTCACCTAATTTCTTATATTTTAATTTATGTTTGAAATGTTTGAGCTTGCACAGTGAGCAAAAAAAGTTCTTGTTCACTTACAGCAACACTCATAAAAAATGAAAAACACTTCAGAATGAAAAAATGGAATTGCTTTGAAGTTTTCAATACATCAGTAGTAGTACTTTTATATCATTTTCTGCACTTGCTTTTCAAAGACTAAGAAAGTTGAACAAGTTGACTCCTTTTTAGGAAATCCCTTGACTTGGTGGAGACCTTGTTAAGACTGTCAGATTCTGGCCACTACCAGACTGTTTCTGAACTGTTTAAAATTCCCATACAGAATTGTCCAGATATGCTGGTATTGGCACTACTGCAGATCACTGTAAGTGATTAAAGGTTGTTTAATAAGGTTATTACATTCCTTTTAAGAGTAGTGCTATGTTTGCTATCAAAACTATGGGTATCTATCAATGCATTTCTTACCATTTCTTAACTATTTGTCAACAGTACTTCTTTTGATACTTTTCAGCCCTCATGGAACACTCTGAAGCAGGAGTTAATATCCACTTTGATGCCCATCTTTCTTGGTAATCATTCCAATTCTGCGGTGGTGTTACACTATGCCTGGCACTGTCAGGGACACTCCAGTACAATCCGTACCCTTATCATGCACTCCATGGCAGAGTGGTACATGAGGGGTGAACAGCATGACCAGGCCAGGCTCTCAAGAATACTGGACGTCGCACAGGATTTAAAGGTAGCCACACAATAATGATTTAAAGCTAGGCACACAATAATGTTTTAAAGCTTGTCACACAATGATTAACTGAAATGTACAAATACAAGCAAATCTAAAAGAATAGTAGGAATCATAATAAAGTTACTTAGAATATAAGATTTGATATCCATTACATTTGAGTTTTTTTTTCTGTAGGCGTTATCGATGCTGCTGAATGCCACTCCCTTTGCCTTTGTGATTGACCTTGCATGTTTGGCCTCCAGACGAGAATACCTCAAACTGGACAAGTGGCTCTCTGACAAGATCAGAGAACATGGGGTAAGTGCTATAGCTGTAAAATCTGTTACTGTGTTCCTTCTATCATGTACCGGTATATTATTTTCCAACAATTCAGCTTTGGGGATAGGCTGCTGAATCATGTTTTTCTAGTAATAAAGTAAGTTATTTTGTTGATTGCTGCATTTGATGTTTTCAGGAGCCCTTTATCCAGACTTGTGTGAATTTCCTGAAGCGTAGATGTCCTCAGCTGGTGGGGGGACTCAGTAAAGACGAGAACCAGCCTCAGATAAAGAGTCAGATGTTACCAACAGAAACTATAGCCACCATGTTATCCTGTCTCCAGCAGTGTGCTAGGTACTAAAGATAGAACTTCACTGGTAAAAAGAGTCTGTAACCATTATACCAGTAACAAATAGTCATACCTCATACATATTTAATCTTGTTTCAGGATCAGTAGTCTTAGAAGGTAGTAGATTTTTCATTTCGGGGGTTAATGGGAAAAGTGAAAGTGACTGAAGAAGCTTCATAATTAAAACCTGAAATATTTGCTCATTTGGTTGACACACATTTTACAATTATATGTATATGGCCAAGACTGCTTCTTTTCCCTGCATGGCAAATACCCAGATTGTTTAATATAAAAAGAGAAATTTATTGTGATAGTAAAAGATGATTAACAGAAACTGATTATAATAGTTTTACCCACGTTACCTGTCATATGTGCCCTTGTATTTTACAGTCAAGTATCCCAGGAACTGTCAGAAGCCATTGTAACCATGGTAACTAATGCCGCAATGATTATAAACAAAGCCAGACAGGCCCCTCCAGGAGTTGTTGGACCGGGACCCAAAACCATGCCCCCACCTCCCAGTAATCCTGTAAGTCTCATTTTGTTGAACTTGGAATAGTTTTAATAATATTCAATACTTTAGTAAGTAGGTATCCAGAAGGAAGAGGTTAATTGTTTGATTAAAACTATAAATGCCAAGTGTCATAAAATGTTAAAATTTATCAAAAACTTCAAATTAAGGACAATTTTCATAATCAAGTACAGTGTATATTTACTGCATTTTAAAAGAAATGTCAATTAGCTATTCTTTGTGTATTTTTAGTTGGATATCGGTGAGAGCAATATGAGCAATCCTCTAGGAATTCCCAAGTCCTGGAGCATGAGTGCTGTGGGGAATTCGGGGTTTCCCCAGGGACTAGCCGCTCCCCTGACCTCCACCACGACCCCAGGGTCCCCAGCCAAGCCGGGATTCCAGCAGATCTCACAGCCCACATCTGTCACAGGACTGCAGGGCATAACATCACAGCTTCAGTGTAAGCTCTAGTGAAAACTGTGATCCTGATTTTAATTGCCCTACAGTTCTTATGCATTGATAATCTGTTATTCATATCAAATAATTTGAGATTGGCCAATTCTTTGCAGCTCTTTCCATTCCAAATCCTCTGGCACCCCCAAGAAATCCAGGAATCAACACACTAGTGGGACAGACCATGCTAAAGCCCACACCCCCACAGGGAGCACCCCCTCAGCAGCCCACACCCCCCACCCTGGGCCAACAACAGCCCCTGGGGCCCCAGACTGTGGCCAGACCCGGTCAGTTCTCTGGTACAGTCATTACTTACATTTATTATCAATAGTCATTAGTTTTGATTAAGTAGAATAGCATTGGTCTACATGTATAGTTTGGAATTTGCTTTTACTTGAAGTAAAAATGTTTTTAAAAATTTAATACAGAAGTTTTTATCCTTAAAATGATCTTCAGAATTTCTGTATAAAAATAAATTATATGTCTTTTGAATTAGTTTATTGTCTCATAAAATTTTAAACATTGCAAAAAAAAAAAAACCCATTGATCCTAAATTTTTGTTTTCATTTATACTACAATGATTTTAAAGTGATACTAATATGTTAATTTTCTTTCAATTGTATAGTAGGACAGACAACGGGAGACATATCCAGTATATTCCCAGATATTCAGCAGCAGTTTTCCAAAGAGGTGGAGGATGAAGCAAACTCTTACTTTCAGAGGATTTATAACCAACCCCCAACACCTACAATGTCAATTGATGAAGTGCTAGACATGTTGAAGAGATTCAAAGATTCTCCAGACAAAAAAGAAAAGGTCAGTTTTGTTTAATTTATTATAGTTTAGGTTTTTGCTGTCAGTAATAGCTACATGTGTAAATGGATAGGTTATCAGCACTAAATGTAGACTCACTAGACTGTCGATAAAAGTTAATGGTTCAACAGTGGGTAATTAAGGATATCAAAATAAATTAAAATTGAAGTTATAATTATGTTACATGTAAATAAATGAAGAAAGCATTTTGAAAAGAAAATCCAGAATATATAGAGTTTCTCTACAGTGCTTGCTATTTGTAGGATGTGTACGAGTGTATGCTAAGGAACCTGTTTGAGGAGTACAGATTTTTATTGTTATTTGTAGGATGTGTACGAGTGTATGCTAAGGAACCTGTTTGAGGAGTACAGATTTTTCCCTCAGTACCCGGAGAGAGAGCTACACACAACAGCAGTGCTGTTTGGAGGGATCATTGAAAAGGGATTAGCAACGTAAGATACATTGTTTCTTGACTACAGAGGTTAGAGAATTAATAATATTTCCTTCTTATAGAGGCAAGATTTAAAATGTTATCACTGTGTCTCGCAGTTACTTTAGGTGAATTGCAGGGGAAAAAATTCTTTCCTGTTCTTTTTTTTGCCACTCTTTCGAAGCAAAAGATATGGTGATGATACATGTATATACATTTGATAGATTATGTCTGCATGTTAATATGTACAAGTACTTTGCATAAATTTATGTATTTAATAATTTCTTTTGATACTTAATCTTGAAATACCTAAGCTAAACAAATTGATATTTACTAGGTACATGGCATTGGGAATCGCTCTGAGATATGTATTGGAGGCATTGAAGAAGCAGCACAATTCTAAGATGTATTTCTTTGGAATTGCGGCATTAGACAGATTTAAAACAAGGTGTGTTAGGAAGGAAGCATGCAGAATATAAATTCTTTGTTTCTACAGTATATTCTTAATTTAGATATAAGAGACTTCATGAGTGCTCTGCTTTTCAGATTAAAAGATTACCCTCAGTATTGTCAACATCTGGCAGCTATTCCACATTTTCTCCAATTTCCACAGCATCTTATTGAGGTAAAAATGTGATATCTGCAATTAAACATTATCTTCTCTATCTGATCAGAAATAGACTCTAAAATCACATATTTTGGTGGAGTCCAATTTTCCGAGGTTTGACAAAAAAACTCTTGGTCATTGGGAATGTAATAATTGTTGAGAAGTTCTGTATTTATTACACTTGACATTTTGTGGTGGACATGAATTCATGGGTTTCTTCATATCTTAAAAACAATGAAAATTATACCCCTACAAAAATTTATGATTTCACAGGAATAAATTGACTTACTTGCTTCATGTTCAGTAATACCAATAATCATTCATCTTTAGCATCAGTATCTGTACACTTTTAATGGTGGTTTTGTTTATTTTAGTATGTGAAGTATGGAGCCCAGTCCCAGGAGCCCCCTCAGCAGCCTCCAGCAACCCGCAGTATTACCCCCACAGTCGGGGGGCTGGGTCTCACCAGCCTGCAGACCGGACCTCTGGGTTTGATGCAGCAGGCTGGGCCCCCCACACCCAGTGTGGCAGGATCTAGTCAGGAGGGAGTTCCCACCACCACCGTGTCCACACCTATCCCCTCCTCAACACCAGCAGCCAAACCCCTACCAAAGGTAATATCAGGCTTTGTGTAGGTCTGGTAGGTTTACTGGTTCTTTCTTTTTGTTTTGAAAATCAGTTTGTATTCTTGTAGGTAAAAAATAAAAAATGTAAAGGTACTCATGATAAACAGTTTTGAAATTGAGAGCTTCTTTTTTTTTTAACGTAAAAACAGAATATTAATATTTCTGTCTTCATACTATAAGATTTAACAAAGGTCACTGAATTTCCACAGCCCTCCATTGCAAGTGCTACAAATATTGATACCCTGCTGGCTGGTCAAGGGAAGGAAGAGTTTTCTGTTCCCCCGGAGGCAGTTCAGGACAAAGTCTTCTTTATCTTCAACAATCTCTCACTGGCCAACATGTCACAGAAGGTATGGAGGAAAAATTGAAAGTGTCAAATAAAAGTGTAGTTCTACAAAATAAGTTTTTATGCATAAACGTTTTTATACGCCCGTCTTAAGACGGGACGTATTATGTTATAGGCTTCATGTCCGTCCGTCCGTCTGTCCGTCTGTCCATTCGTGTCCGGCTCATAACTTGAATACTATTAGACCTAGGATTATCAAACTTTGAGAGTTGATACTTCTTGGGTAGACGGTGTGTTATGCACGAAAAGTAGGTCGCTGTGACCTTTAATAAAGATGCTATGGCCAAATATGGAAAAATCCTGTCCGGCTCATAACTAGAAAACTATTAGACCTAGAGCTTTCAAACTTGGCAAAATTATACATCTAAGGTAGAAGGTGTGTCGCGGCCTATTTCAAGGTCACTGTGACCTTAATTTTAAGTGAATTTTTTTAAAAAAACTAAGTCTTTAAAATTTTAAATTTCATAATCCTAAAAAATGTAAAAATATAGTTGTATCCTTATTTAAAAATGTTAAATCAAGTAAAAACTTATTTTTTCATTATATACTTTACAGCAATCTGTAACAAATGTTAATGTTTTGAGAGGAATTCAGTTTGTCCCATGGGCATAATTATCAAACACTGGTCAAGAAGAATTTTGATAGCAGAAATTCGCATGTCAAATTAGAGAGAATTAATGAGTTTATTGTCAGGAGCTGGACTGGTAGTGCAGATCTCTTATAATGCAGCTGTTATCTTTATCTTTAATCTCTTGGGAGTTGGGCAAAAAGAAATGGCCTCATAGTTGCTTGTGTTAATTAAGAGTTCTTGATGGCTAGTTCAGAAAAAGATCTTTCAATTGGTGTAATGTAATTGAAACAAATTGATGCTTTAAAATACAGTGTATAATAAAAACTAAATTAATATTGCATAATATAATTAAAACTAAGCCTTATTAAAAAATGTTAAATTAAGTAAAAACTTATTTTTTTCATCATTATAATGTACTTTTACAGCAAACTGTAGCAAATGTTAATGTTTTGAGAGGAATTCAGTTTGTCCCATGGGAATAATTATCAAGCACTGGTTAAGAAAAATTTTGATAGCAGAAATTGCATGTCAAATTAGAGAGAAATTAATGAGTTTATTGTCAGGAGTTAACTGGTTGTCTAAGAGCATCTCTGTTAATTCAGCTGTTATCTCTTGGGAGTTGGGCAAAAAGAAATGGCCTCATAGTTGCTTGTGTTAATTAAGAGTTCTTGATGGCAATAGCCGAGATAAAGATCTTTCAATTAGTGTAATGTAATTAAAACAAATTGATGTTTTAGTGTATGATTAAAACTAAATTAGTATTGTATAATATAATTAAAACTAATTATACATGTGTTCATTGAAAAAAAATTACATTTCAATTTTTATATATTTGCAACAAATTGCAGTCATGTCTCACTTAGAATTTTATAGTCTAAAGAATAATGTATTTTTGATTTTTTTGTTAGACTGTAGCATTTCCATTATTCCAGAAAATTATGCAATTAACAATTTAAAGCTGCAGATGGATATTTGTTAAGTTCTAACACAGCCAGTTTAGAATTATATGATGTATTATTTGTTATAATTAATCCCTACACTGTAAGTCTCTTAGAGATGTATATATGTACAATATTTTAAACATGATAAGAAATTGAAATTAGATCATTGAAATCTGTGTCAATCTGTTAATCAAGGTTATTTGATTTTTTTGCACCTTTACCAATTTATGATTATTGAACAATATATTTGACGGGCGTATCATGCTGTGGCGGGGCACTTTATTCTGTTATTGAAGTTATGTTGTCAAATGCATTTTGGATTCATATTTCATTGATATTGTTTTGATAACAGGCAGAGGAGTTTAAGAAAGAGGTAACAGAGGACTACCTACCCTGGGCAGCCCAGTATCTGGTGATGAAGAGGGCCAGTATAGAGCCTAACTTCCACACCTTATATGCCAACTTTGTGGATGCCTTGAACATCCCAAAGCTTTCAACAATGGTGACTAGAGAGACCTTCAGAAATATCAGGGTAAGTGTTTGAATGAATGTAGTATTTAGTTCTTCAGGGAACTTGCCGGTGAACAAAGAAAACATGAAAAAGCTTAAATGTACCATTCATAATCTTAATTGCTATACTATGATAATACCTACGTAAAGTTAATCAATACTCATTCTGTAAAGTTATATTTCCTAACAGTTTTGTCATGAGTTGTATGTATGTTATTATCCCCCAGGTTTTATTGAGGAGTGACAAAGGAGATGCCAATTTCTCAGACAGAACACTGCTGAAAAATTTAGGTCATTGGCTGGGGATGTTAACCTTAGCTAAAAATAAGCCAATCCTGCAAATAGTAAGTCAACAATGTCTCGGTAGTGAATTTTCTAAATACTACATGATTGTATACGGCCAGTCATAGAACTTAACTTACCTGTGACTTTATTGCAGGACATAGATCTGAAAGGTCTACTGTACGAGGCCTACCATAAAAGCTTTCGAGAATTGTTGTATGTTGTACCTTTTACTGCCAAAGTTCTGGAGTCGTGTGCTAAAAGCAAGGTATGTACTTTTCGTTTCAAGTATTTACACCATGGAATCCAGGTGGATATGCTCATTCAAAGAATTTCTCTACATTATGTTCTCAATGATAATCATTTACAGGTTTTTAAACCCCCAAATCCCTGGACCATGGCCATCATGAATGCACTGGCAGAACTTCATCAAGAGCCAGATCTCAAACTGAACCTGAAATTTGAAATAGAAGTGCTATGTAAGACTCTGAATATAGACTTATCGGTGAGTGTTGGTATTAAAAAAAAATTAATCATTACATTCACTTCATTTTGCTGCTTTTATACAATTATCTCAAGTTCATTATTTGGGAAAAACTGTTTAAAAATCCGTCTTTATTGTTAAAGGAGCTGAAACCAGGAAACTACTTGAAAGACACCCTGAGACTACAGACCCATGAACCTCAATTGTCTGCATCGGTGAAACCCACGCTGCCACCTACAGTGGTGACCCCCCAGCCTGAACCGTCCCTGATCCTGACAGCCTCCACCCCGACTGTCAGCACCACCACCACTGTCACCACGACGACAGCGGCCCCGGCCCCTGCCCCCTCCACTGGGACCCCCAATCTGCCACCCAGGCCCCAGTTTGCCTACGAGGAGATCAACACCAACAACTTTGCTACTTTGGCTTACCAGATTCACATAAGTGGGCAGGTAGGTGAAACAAGATTTTACTTGATGGAAGAAAAGATTAGGAGCAAAATAGTGAATTTGAAATACATGTAATTAACAATTACAGGATAAGCTGAAAAGTGTAAGTAATAGAGTTTATACCCTGATAAGCAAATCTTGTATTCTTTGTTGAAAACATATAATTGATGTCTATACAATACAATATGCTAAATGATCAATAAGAAACATTGAATATTGATGTTTCTGTCTTGTAGCTTGGATTGTTGCAAAATCATCCACAACTGAAGCAGCTGGTGAAGATGGCAGTTGAGAAGTCTGTACAAGAACTGATGCCACCAGTGGTAGAACGGACAAACAAAATCACACTCACCACATGTGAACAAATCATCAAAAAGGTGCAATTTTGTTTCTTTCATCATCACTCTGACTGAGAAATAAAGTTCTTTTTGAAATAAAAAGGTTATTTTGATTGAATTTTGAAATGTGACCTTACAGGATTTTGCATTGGACCCTGAGGAAACCAGAATGCGGGCAGCAGCTCACATCATGATAAGGAACATGACCTCTGCCCTCGCTCTCATCACCTCCAGGGAACCTCTGTACCACAGCATTGCCTCAAATCTCAGAACCGCATTTATGAGTGCACTCAGACTCACAGCAGAGGTAATATCAAGATGAAGTCTGATGACATATCTGTTCATTTTGTATAAATGTATGACCAGATATTCACCCAGAAATATTTCATATGTGCATTTGTAATTCATGGAAAAAATGTTTGGATGAAAGTGTCTAGTCATATCCTTATAAAAATTCATAAATGAAATGCATTCCTAAATTTACCTGTATCTTCACAACATTTATGATTTTTTTATTTAACATGCTATTTATTTAAAGTAACCACTGAAATTAACAGTCTTGTGTTTATTTCCTTATGCAATGCAGTCCAACTGAAATACTACTCTTCATAATTATTATAATTATGGAAATCTCATTAATTGCATATTTTAAAAACACATATTTTTGTGGGGTCTTAAGATTTGAGGAAAAAAGTATTGGTTCATGGAGATTTTATTTTGTGGTTAAACAATGGAGATTTTGTTTTGTGATAAGAGATGCGATAGTGTAGTTTGACATTTAATATTTCATGGAGGACAGGTGTAGGGTCTGCAAACCGGGAAAACAAGGACAATTAATCCCCACTAAAATTGTTGTTTTTATGATGGATTGATTGACTGATTGCTAATGTTTTATGCCGATTTGGCAATATATCAGCCATATTTCATTATATTATATCCTAAATCTTAAATCATTGATATACAGTTAGCAAGTACTCAGGAGAAGGATGCCATAGAACAAGCAGCTACTGTCCTGGCCACTGACAATGCTGAGTTAGCCTGTGTCTTCATACAGAAAACAGCTGTAGAGAGGGCTATCCCAGAAATGGACAAGAGGCTTGCTACAGTAAGATACTCGTCTCTATTTTTAAGCTCCTGTATTGAAAGAAAATCATGGATACTGCGCTTATTAACAGAGTCCTCTGTCTAAATAGCTAGGAAAACTGAAAATGAACCAAAGTTCAATCATTTTTGTTACAATTTTTTTTCCCATTCTAAGCTACTAAAGCTGCATTATAAATGTACACATGAATTTATACATGTGTGTGGTTCCAAACTGCAATACAATGATTATTAAATAATTAGTATATGAGAACATTCTCTATTGTTATATATGTACATGTATACAGAAGTTCTGGTGCACATCTGTATGGGTTTTATTCTTCTTTCTAGGAATATGAACTTCGTAAACATGCCCGTAATGAAGGCAGACGTTACTGTGATCCTGGGGTTCTGACGTACCAAGCTGAAAGAATGCCAGAGCAGATCAGACTAAAGGTAATCTCAGAAAGGTAGCTGAACTTATCCAGCTGATGATGCTGAAAGGTGCAGTGACAAAATATTTCTATTTTTGAAAATAGATAAAGATGTGTAGCTTAATAATCATGAAAAATATGTTTATTTTCTTGATCAACAGGTTGGAGGTGTAACTCAAGCTCAAATATCAGTTTATGAGGAGTTTGCTCACAATATTCCTGGATTTCTCCCAACCAGTGAGACGCCGCAGGCTGTTGTGGCCAAACCCACACCTGTAAGTCAAATAGATTTTGAAGTACACTAAGGAGTTCCTTATCATACATTTTCTGTTTGTGTTCCTAAGCAAGATCCAAATTGTTGCACAGTCTCTAGTGGGCTAAGCTTTGACATAGAAGTCTACCAATATGTGTACTGGAAAGTCCAGGTCAACTTTCATACTAAATTTTTTAAATCACTGCAATAATGTCAATGCATGTAGAGTATTTCTGAATTTGTAGATGCATGTCTGAATGTTTGTTTTAGGTCCAGCCAGATGAAATTTCTCAAATGTTGGAGAAGATAGGAATGGAAATTGAACAAGTGCTTCAAACAATGATGATCCCCCCATCGAATCCTCTAGGAAACCAGTTGCGAAAATTACTAGATGCAGTAATGTTTTCACGAAGTAGTAGAGAAATGGCTTCCATAGAGACTCTGGTGCAGAAGACGGTGAGTGGATTCCTGGAATTCTACACCAACAATACCACGGAACAGGAGCTGATGAGTCACTTCCGTGACTGCCACCTTCTGGTTCTAAAATGCTTAAGAGAATCCCGGGCGTACGGCCAGGCTTGGCTTAAGAAGCAGGTGACTCGAGCTCTCGTTGAGCGTACGGATGAACCCAAGTATAACTTGGAAGCTCTGGATTGTCTCATTCGTAGCCAGCTGGTGGTTCTGTCCCAGTATGACATGTACATAGTACAACTGATGGAAAACGGAATGAATTACATGGCCGTGGCTTTCGCTATGCAGTTAATTCAGAGATACTGCATTGGTGATAAAAATAATGCTGGACTTACTGAGGTGGGTTATTATTACGCTGTGTTTGACTTTGTCATTTCTATCATCTAAACAGCAATCTGATTTGTGTAAATTTGTCATTTCTATCATATAAACAGCAAATTGATTTGTGTAAATTGTATGATTTTTTTATTTGCAGGCTGACTTTGTAAATACAATAGAGGTTTTGAGTGCCCTCTCAACCCGGTCCATTAACCCACCGGAAGGGTAAGACAAATATATATATTTAGATTGAAATATGTAGATGAGATCTATCTTTATATGCATTTATACTAAAAAAAATATTGTTGATATTTTATACTTGACACCTTTGAAATTCTATTTCAATTAATTAAAATATTTATTTATATTGAAGTTTTCTGTTAAAATACTGATTAAAAACAAGTGTTTGTTTGTTTACCTATACATGTATGAAATGATTGTATAACTACATGTATATTTTTCATCAACAGATTACAGACCCTGCTGGACAACCTGCGCTCCACGAGTGGGGGAGGAAGCAGTAACAGTGGCAGTGGGACCGCTCCTAGCTCGGACTTCAACCTAATGGACCAGACTGCGGCTTTTAAAGCTGCCTCGGGAATGATGCACACGGGGATCATACAGGCCAGGGACATAGATGGGGATCCCCCGGGGCTTCACGAGAAAGCCGAGTACCTCCTCAGGGAGTGGGTCAATATGTACCACTCCCCTGCTGCTGGGAGGGACAGTACTAAAGCATTCACTGCATTTGTACAACAGGTAATCAAGTTTTTTTTATATATAGGTGCATTTTAAAGAACATTTTGTGGATATTCATTATTCATATAATGTATTAAGAAATGGTATGTTTTATGAAAGAAAAGTTAGTACAACTTGTTAAATCTTTATGTGATATTCTCTGAAACCTTTCCTTATATGATTTAAACTTAAGTCCCTCTCAGTACATCCAGGTTTAAAATTTTGTAATTCAGAATTTTGTCCAATCTGGCTTATTTCTATTTTACCAGTGGTGTCTAGATTAGACAAATTCTATTTCAAGTCAAGGAGCAAGTATTTTTTCAAGTACAGTCACATAGGAGACATCTGGTTGGTGTTTAAATGGCTATTTTTTACTTGACTGAAGGCTTTCTTTTCTTGTGTTTTAGATGCACCAGCAGGGTATACTGAAGAATGATGATGTGATAACGCGATTCTTCCGTCTCTGCTCTGAGATGTGTGTAGACCTGTGCTACAGAGCCATGGGTGAAGCTACACCCTCCACAAACCAGGCCTTAATCAGAGCCAAGTGTTTCTACACGCTGGATGCCTTTGTCCGCCTCATTGCCTTGTTGATTAAACACTCAGGAGACAATGCCAACACCGTAACAAAAATAAATCTCCTCAACAAGGTATGGCTACGGGCTGAAATCTTGGTTTGTAATGCTAATTATAGAGAGAAATTGTTAAAAATTCATTAACATGTTTATTTCTTAAAATAATAAAGAGAGATTTAAAAAATGTATATTGTAGAACAACTCTCTTAGACCTCCTAGAACCAAAGTACATGTACATTTATATTGATAATGTTTGGTATAGAGAAGCTACATGTAATTTAATGTTAAACCATTGCATTGCTACTGTAGGTACTAGGGATTGTGGCCGGAGTTCTACTACAGGATCACATCGTGAGGATGTCTGAATTCCAACAACTTCCTTATCACAGGATCTTCATCATGCTCTTCATTGAGCTGAACGCACCAGAACATATCCTAGAAAACATTAACTATCAGGTCCTCACCGCATTCTGGTAAGAACATCCAAGGATTGTCAAAGACAGTGGTCACTGGCCAGTTCATTTTACTGGATTACATTGTTTATTTAATTTATATGTAAGTTTATATATATGTGTCTTAAATGATATATAAAGATGAACTTTTCTTTGTAGCAATACTTTCCACGTGTTAAGACCTGCCAAATCCCCTGGATTTTCCTACGCATGGTTGGAGTTTATTTCTCATCGTGTCTTCATTGGTCGAATGCTTGCTCTGACACCTCAACAGAAAGTTAGTTTTTGATGCTTTGACATAAAATGCATACTGAGTATCTGAAACTTTGACATAAATGCGTACAGATTTTCTATGCATTTTACATTCAAGTAAATGAATTCTACTGTAACAAAAATGGCTTAGATGGTAAGGCTGCTGAAATATGAGTTGTATATATTTTTGTAGGGATGGGGAATGTATGCCCAGTTGTTGATTGATTTGTTCAAGTTCTTGGCTCCATTTCTGAGAAATGCTGATCTCACTAAACCCACTCAGATGTTGTACAAGGTAATTTATTGTATTAGATGGATACTTCTGCTATATGCACTTATATATTTTAAACAATTTCACAGGGACCTGTTTAAGCAAGAGTCTTTTATAAACCCTGTCTTTTAATTGAGATATTAGCCTCAAAAGATTTTTCATCGAAGAACTTGTATCTCTAAGTTTATGTCAAACATAAATCATTGCATAAAAAGTCACCATACATGTTAGTGTAAATATGATTGGTACCTTTTATGAAAGTTGTGTTAATTTTTTGCAGGTCATTTTGAATTATGATTTCAATGTTTTGAATGTTTTAGGGCACACTTCGGGTGTTACTGGTCTTGCTTCATGACTTCCCAGAATTCCTCTGTGATTACCATTATGGATTCTGTGATGTCATTCCACCAAACTGTGTTCAGATGCGTAATTTAATTCTGAGTGCTTTCCCTCGTAACATGCGGCTTCCTGACCCGTTTACACCTCACCTAAAGGTAGACATGCTGGCAGACATCTCAAATCCACCCCGCATTCTCATCAACTTTGCAAGCAAGATACAGCCTGCTCAGTTTAAGAAGGTAGGGTTCAAAGAATTTATGTTTTAAGTGTTAAGTATATAGGTAGTTATTTAACAAATGATTTATCATTGGTAAAGTCAAATATTATACTGAAACTTAGAAAGCAGATATGGCTAACCTTGCTTAATATTACCCTTACCAATAAAGACACATCCGCACAAAACAATAGTGTAAGCAAGTATGCATGTAAGAGCTACCCTTGAACTTGTATCCCTATGACCTAGTTAAAATTTGGCTCACCATCTTAAAATGATTCCACATTAATTTGTGAAAGATGCTTAATTGAAATAGGAACTACAGAAGAACTGGCATTAGATTTGAAATGTCTACTTTTCTTTGCAGGATTTAGACTCTTATTTAAAGTCAAGATCACCTGTGACATTTGTATCAGACCTTAGAAGTTACCTACAGGTACTAAAGTCCATTCTGATTCTTGATGTTTGTATATGTTTATGTATTTCAATTCGTGAGACATTGTAACTTCCATTGTGTTTTTATCTGTAATATTTTACAACAGTCCAGTGAGCCAGGTACGCGGTACAACATTCAACTAATGAATGCCTTAGTGCTCTATGTGGGAACTCAAGCTATACAGTTCATACACGGAAAAGGCCTGACTCCAAGTATGAGTACAATTGCCCATTCTGCACACATGGACATCTTCCAGAACCTCGCTGTGGCCTTAGATACAGAAGGTAAAACCAGCCTGTCATTTGAAGTCCTTCATGGACATGTATTTAATGCATAAATCTGTTGTGTTCATATTGGGAGAAAATGATTGTGATACTCATTAAATTTATGGAATTTTTTTTGTCACAAGAAAAGAATTTTCCATCATTTAGTGTTCAGTGAGCAAGAAAGTACTGACAATACAGAAGAAAGTAAATTTTATTGTTGACTTTTGTAGGTCGTTACCTGTTTTTGACTGCCATTGCTAACCAGCTGAGGTATCCCAACAGTCACACCCATTACTTCAGCTGTACTCTTCTGTACCTGTTTGCTGAAGCAAACACCGAGGCCATTCAAGAGCAAATAACTAGGTATATTTTTCAAGCCATTTCATTCAAAGGCACGTCTTGATAATTCAAGAGTTTGATATTGTAGTTGATGTTTATTCAAGCGTCTTGGTTTGCCAACAGTATTGATTCAGGGTGTAACATACCTTTACAGTTCAAATTTTTTTAACGTCTTTTGCTTCGGTAGTTAATGCAAAACTTTTTATTGTAGAGTTCTTTTGGAGAGACTAATTGTAAACCGGCCACATCCCTGGGGACTTCTCATCACCTTTATTGAGCTGATCAAAAATCCCCAGTTTAAGTTCTGGAACCATGAGTTTGTCCATTGTGCACCTGAAATAGAAAAGTATGTACCACATAGTTTTGTTGTTGTCCTCTTCATAACAATTACTCATCAGTAAAAATGTGAGATTCTGGGAAGATTTAAAGAAGCAAGTGTTGGATATAAAGAGAAGACAAAGTAGCATCTGTAATATACAGTTTTGGTTTTTCAAATGCTGTTTCAAGCAAACAAACTAAAAAAATGATACATATTTGAATGCATGATGTCCTTGGATGAAACTTAATTATAAAAAGTTTTGTACTAATTATGGTCGTAATATTTTTTCAGGTTGTTTGAATCCGTGGCTCGATCTTGTATGCAACCAAAACAGAATCAGCAAGCTTCCTCAGGTTTACGAGAATCCGAGACAAATGAAATGCATTAGTTACTGGACAGACATATCGCTTGATAGGACTAAGGTCGTGCTTGTCGTTATGTACAGCTTTAACCGTCTACAAAGACTGCACCAATCATTATCTGGATTCATATTGAGTGATTAATTTATTTTGGTATTTGAAAATTTGCCTTTCACTGAACTTGATCATTTTCATGGTAGCTGAATGTACCCAGTCTTTCAACCATGACATTTGTATTATGGAGGCATTCATGTAAATGTTTGTTTTATCTGCAAGGAATCATGTATAGGTGAAATAAGGGTATAGATAGCTATGAGAGTTGACATAGTTAACATTGCAACAACTGTGTTGTTATAGATGGAAACTGAATAACTTATAAAGCATAAGTGTATTTTTTTGATTGTACATATTTTACATTCTGTAATATGAATTCTTATATATATATTTGTGTACAAAACTTTAAATTTATCATCCTTTATGAATGATTGGTGCACCTAAATATAAGGAATAAGGAGCTGAAATCATTGCATTCATTAATGTTTGATGTTTGATTAAATATTTACATAAGTGGGATATGTGCTTTAATTACTTATACAATCATTGCCATTCATATAATTGACGAATGTTATCTATGAGTAAAACATCTTACACCAATGTAGAATGGGTGGATCTTGAGATTAATATTTATGCAGATTTGATTGAAGTAGGACTTATGTTTTTTTTTTGGATGAATTTTGTTCAAAATCTGTAACCTGTTCATTCATCTGGAAAATTCAGGTCAGATTCAGCATCCGAATCAAGTCTGGTAGTGTCCATCCTTCATCCATCCAAGTTTTGGTCCAGGTAGGGCTAATAATCATATGGAAATGGACATGCTCCTAAAATTTTAATACGAATGGCGATGGTGTTGCATAAACTCAACTTGACTAAGTTGACTTCACTATGTACCAATGTTGACCAAACTTGCATGGATGACACGTCTAAGGATGCACTCTATTCGACATTTTTGGATGCTTGGTCTGATCTACATTCTTAGATGAGTTCATTCTTAATGGTATTCATTCTGCAAGGGTTTGTTTATTCTGGGAACAATGCATCTGTGTAGTTTACTGAAAGAAGTCATGCCATGTCCAGGGGAGGGCTGCAAATTCAGAACTTTACTCTGCACTTACTACCTTCAACAGTAAAAGATCTTTTCAGTGCCAGCATCTTCTGTAATAGGGGACCTTCATTCCTACAGTGATGCATGTTTGAAAGCGAGATCTGATGTCCATCATATGACTGAATCGGTAGAAATAAAAAAATATATAAGTATTCTAACAGGTCACTTATTAGTGGTTTAATAATTTATTAATAAACTCCAATCTTTGAGGATGAAGAGAGATACATGTATAAAATTACATAATTGAAACTTGAAAAAGCAATTTTTATTAAACCTAAGTCCAATATGGTTAAAATTTCACAATGCTCAAACTTGACTGGCAGCTCATGATACATGTATACAATGCAGTGATTTAAAAAAAATATTTCTTACATATATATATTTACCTGTATGCCATAACAAAATCTTATTAAAAACATTTTTTTTAAGAATAGAAGTAAAACAATGTTTTCACAGATTTAAAGGTAAGATGCAGGAGTTCAAAGTAATGCATATATGTATCTGAAAAGATACTTTGACTTAAAGCATGGTTCAAATTCAGACTTCTTGGACAAACAGTGAAGAAAACCATTGTAAATTCCTCAAAAATTTCATTTCTGTAATCCATAAAAAAGGAATAAAATGATGCATTTGTAAAACTAGAACATGTATGTCCAAAGCATAGAAGCCCCTAGGTTCATTGTATTGCAATATGGAAAAGAATGCAGTCAATGCACCATAATCATCCAGAGATAATAGAGGCATAACATGATAAAGTTAAAATAGTTTTTTTTCCTTATATGTTTTTAGTGCGGTGTGCATAAACTTTTTAGAATATGGGACATAACTCAAGAACCCCTTGGCCAATCAGTTTCAAATTTGTCACAGTGTATCCTTGGCCCAAGGGCTACCATTTATGGTATTTAATAATTATTCTATAATACATTCAGTCTTAACTGGCTAAAATATTATCAAACTTTGTCAGCTGATGCATTTTGGGTCTTATGATACTAATAGAGTTGGAGGCTTCTAATAGAAGTGATCGATTGTACAATTTATCAGAAGAGCAATTCAAGGCCCTTGGGCCTCTTGTTTTTCATATACAGAATTATGTAAAACAATTATTAGTGAGGCCAGGGTTAAAAAATTTGGACACAGTTTAATAACTCTTACCAATATGTATCAGTGTGTGGATTTAGAGAAAACATCTCGTTTCTATGAAAACAGAGTTGAACAAATCTTTAAAAGTATTTTTCCTTCACAAAAACTTTATTTCTATTTAATTATGTTAGACTGTCTACTCCAGAAAAATTAATTCTTATGTACCGGTAGATTATATTAATATAAAAGATATATAAATCAATAATCAAATTTAATGAAATTTTGCCTTGCTTTTGCATGTAAATACAGCAAAGATCAAGTGATTAATCAATATTACGATGAGTGGACAGACAAAAGGACAGAAAATGGATGGGGCATGATAAAAAAATGTAAATAAATCAACACGCATCTCTCATATATACATTATTAACAAATAATCTAGCATCCACATTCACTATCTATGAAGCAGGGATGAATAAAAAGAAGCCAACTACTAAAAATTTCAATACTGCGAGTTGCTATCACATACACTTCTTCCTTTTTGCCTTTCTAGAAATTGTGTCATTACATTTAAATCATTTCTACCAATATGATATTTTTTCATGTTAATTTTATACCCACTGATAAAAAGCAAGGCATAAAAACTTGTTAAACTTGATTCTGGTAGATCAATACCCGTACCATAATGAATTTGCATTTATAGAGGCAGTTTATCTTTGGAATTGTATATCACTGGCTATATAAAGGAATGAAGAAGTATTTTAAAGTCAAGGTTACTAACCAAGGTCTTTAAACTTTGACTAGAAAGCACGTTTTGATATATTCCACAAGGAGAAGCACTCAAACTAGGGCACTAATCAAACTATTTACTACTGGTAGTAAGAGATTTCACAGCTATTATATATAATTATGCATATATTACTTTTCTTAATTAGGAAACATTGTATGTAAAACTAAATTTAAGATTTGGTGGGAATGTTAGTTCCTTTGACTGTGGTTCGATGTAGAATACGCAGGCCCACTTCTGATACAGGGAACTGAGTCTCCGGTGAAGCTTCATGTCCCACAGCCAGGTTGTCAGAGATGATAAAATCCCCTTGTTCCCACTGTAAGAAACATCTTATTATAAACATCGTAATAAACGCAGGTATGTTAAGGTTACAACCAAATATTCTACTTGCTTATATGATATGACGTCATAGTAAGCTTTATGACATGAAGTTTAGAGATAACAATTTCTTAAAATCGATATCTAAAATTGATTTCAGGTCGTAAAAATCAATCGAAATATGCATAGGCACAATATAAACGGAATTTTGTCGTTTCTGGGTCTCTGTAGTTATCATAGGGGTTAAATACCAATTCCGTGACGTCATAACTGTTGATCATGCAGTAGCAGAGTGAAAGTGAAACGTAACGAGAATTCATGTAAACAAGCACAAGAAATCGGAATTTAAAAGCATTTAGAATGAATATCATGTGTGATTCATGTGGGAATAAAGCTTATGAATAAGGTATGGTAATATAATTCTACAATTTCTTCGTAAAATTAAAGCAGGGAGGGTGTTTACTTGCCGGTCAGCCTTTCCTCTGTCGTTCGTAACAAAAAAGATGCAAAAGTTCAACACTACGCCGCATACCTTGAAAGTTATTTTTTGTTTCTATCTACAGTTCTTATTCTATTGTTTTTGGATAGTGCTGCTAGAATCGTATGGTTTACGGGAATTGATGCATTTTTTTCGATGTTATGAACAAAATGTAAAAAGTTTGGGAAGGTTTTGTCTGAAAGTGTTGATTAATTCCTGTGATAGGACAGTAGGATTCTAGCAGCACTTTTCATGGTACAGAGATGTTTTTACATAACTATTATTACATATTGAAATTAATTATCCTAGTGTTGAACTTTTCACTTTTTTATTAAGGCATATTTTCTAATAATAGACGTCCCGTGGTGAAGTGCTTCCTGTAGTATAAGTCCCATTGAAGTCTATAGAATGCATAATTATAGCAAAAGTTTTATTTTTGACTTTTCCGATTTATTAGTGTTACTTAATTATAAAAAAGTGTTAATTCACCGAATTCTGATCCATGTGCTGCCTTTACAAACCCGCGAACATTCATAGATATTAACTTACTGGTTTTCAGTAACTTCAAATTTACCGGTAAGTTTTGTTTTCTGCTCTGGTGAGCTTCAGCTCATTAGGTATCTTTTTGTCAAAAAGTTTGAGCTATCAACTTATCTTCATTACTAGATATGGGATTATGAATGTAGTGATCTCTGATCTTAAGGCATAAATTTAAGAGCGAAAAGACAAATGAGGGAATACACAACCTCTCTAACCTAATCATTTAGGTGCCCTTGTAAGTTTACCTTATGTGAGTAAACCAGGTTCCTGTTGCCTTTCTCGATTTCTTGGTGGATCTCCATCAGAATGTGTTTAGTTTCGGGCCAGTCTGTCATCCTCTCTTTGTCAGTTCCAGCATCCCACATAAAAGCGTCGGTCATTCCCAGGTGAAAACACAGCGTCTGCAGTAAAAATTATACAATATCGGAAGCCTCTCTCGGTGCATTACATAAATGATATATATCATTTAGATATGTAGAAGAAAGTAAATGCACCAAATAATTTATCCCTTCTCCTAACAGAAACTGAAACTAATCAATATTTATTTATTTTAATTCAATAATAATGTAATAGGCCAGAGGTGACACCTTGCCATGCAATGCTGTAACTTACTGGTTTCTTAGTGACAGGGTGAGGGTAAATCAGAGGATGAGTGGACTTAGACCGTCGGTCACTAACCATATAAAGCCTCTCCCACCGGTCTCTTACTTCTGGCTGTAGACTCTCGATCAAGTCTGTCAGTGGTACAAATGCTGTAAACAGTAGAAATTATAAGTACAACAGGGGTACATTTACATTTTTGTAGAATTATCAATACCTTAAAACTTAATTAAGCATTTAATATGTGTTAGTAGATTCAATAGTTCTGGAAATCATAGCAGGCCTTGAAAATTTTAGCACAAAGGGTGACCAGCTGGTGAATATCTATACAAAAAGAAGATAAACTGAGTGTAAACATGGTAAATAAAAGAAGATAAACTGAGTGTAAACATGGTAAAATGACAAACCAGTATCACCCCTTTTGGGGACTGCAACCATGTGATAGAGTGACATTTTGAATGGCTCTCTCATAAAACTTCCGTCTATGTGCCATCCCGTCCGCCCCACGTTCGTGCACCCCTCCTCCTCATTATTGGACACACGGAAAACATCAGGATGAGGCGATCTTGGGTGTTTGTAAAATGTGGATTCCAAGTCCCCGAACCATTTGCTTATTTCCACTTGACGATCACCGCTAATTAACCCCTGATTTTTGAAAATCAATAAAACATGTTCATGTACTTCCTTCTTAATTAGGTTAACAACTTCCTCTGAGACTGGTCCATTCAAATTCACATCTTTGACGTCAACAATCTTTCCAAGTTCCTTCATGATGTGAAAGTGAAAGTAGACATTCTGGAGACTTCCACAGATAAATTAACTTGCACATAAATTCATTCCAGAGCCAGGCCCGTACTCCTGCATTTTACATTAAATTAAATTTGAATGCTTTTTCCTTCCTTTTTTTAATTTAGAGTAAATAACGTTTTCCTTTTATAAGAGGTCCATGGGCCAAAACGCTTACCTGAGGCACTCGTAACTCAGTTATGATCTTTAAACTTTCCTTTTTAAATAAATTTCCTTCTCTATATCATTATAAATAAATCCGTATTGTTGGCCACTCCTAAAAACAAAAACCTTATAGTTCAACTCCCTAGTATGCTGCATCCAAGTCAAAAGTATATATTATATACTTTGATCTAGCATGCCAGAGTCGCACTCTATAGATCTATTGATCAAAGAAACATTATTTTACCACCTTGAATCAACACTGTATGCATTAAGTTATATTTAAATGACTTATAGTTTATCATGCCTGCAAGCTGTCACAAGTATAAAATTGGATGATTATATAATTATATATATACATTTATCCAAAGGTTTATTTAATTATTTCCATCGACATTATACAAATATCAGAACCTCACTTCTCAGGCCAACTTTTGAAAACTGCTTGTTTCCCTCTCCTGACTTGGCCTGAAATATTTGGTCCGTATAGGTAGGTGAGACTAGGTAAGAAATTTTTATACCTGCTTGAAAAGTGGGAGGGTATAATATATATATATAGTGATTGGGATGTTCATCTTCTTTCTTTCAGTAAATATGATGCTTAATTTATTGTACTATTTGAATTAGCACGTCTGGTCAAAGGAATTTTAAATAAAATGAGGCATTTTAAAAAAAATCTCACTGGACTATCCATATTTAAGCCTAACTCTTTTTAAAGACTACATATCACTATATGAATATTAAACTACTTTTAAGAGCAACAATGTACCCCCAAGGTATACATGTACAATTTTTTTTACCTAGTATAAATGACATATGTAGTCAATCTTTTAATTACAATCGCCAAACTATTTAAATGTTTTGAAAAAATGGATTTTAAATGTGTTATCTGGCATCAAAAGACATCCAACTGTTTCAAACACTGGAAATTTTTCTGACATGTTTAATTTTATTAAATCATTTCATAATTACATGTAATTCACAAACATGTACATACATGTATACTAGCTTGCATCTTAATCTTTCTGAATTCTGAAATGAATTCTCCATACTGTAGATCAAATATAATAAATATTTAAATGTTACCAGACAGGCAATATAATAAAGCTCACTTAAATTTTGGGAACAGAAGTACAATTGGTATATGTACAAAATGTCCAAACATATCCTCACAATCAATATGACTGCATCAAATGAAACCCACGAACACAGTAATCATCAAATAATTTAAAATATCTCAGTCAGCTAACCTTACAATGTACAATGTCCATCACAATACATGTATAGATCAAGGAATGACACTTCAGTGTGAACAAGCTACATTAGAACATAACGGCAGGCATCAAAGAGTTTTCTTAAAAAATCTCACGATATTCATTCAAAACCCATAAAATTCTTTCCGTAAATGACACAGATTTTGTTGATAAGACATATGATATGACAGCACATAATGAGTCGTTAGTTTCCTCCCAGATTTTGGCCCCTCCCCCAGTGGTGCCGGTGATTATCTCCATTGTTATCAGGGGCCTGCCGCCGACTTGAGGGGGGAATTCCAAACCCTGACACGCCTCCTCTTCTGTTTGGAAAATATTTGTACCTGATAAAGAAAAGAGGTGTAAATTAGTTTATTGGTAGATTCTAACAAACCAAAATGTTTTACTTAGTATACACGATATTGTTTGGTCTGCAGTTAAGTGTTCCTCTTCAAAAATCAATATTTTTCCAAATTCTTTTATAAAGTTAGGGCCTAAGGCATATTTTTAATATTGTGTGATTAAAACAAAAGTCTTTAGTGGTCATTTACATAAAGAGTGATTCATAAGTACAACACAGAGTAAAAAATTCTTTCCTCTCTCATGATATTTACAAAATTATGCTACACATTCAGTCAAGAAAAAATTCTTTTTAAGTTTAAAATTCAAGTATCTTCTTTCTTGCTAGTGTATTAATTCCATAATCAGGTGATATTTACAAAAAATATTTATTCTTTTTTTTGGTCAAAATTTTTTTTTCAGTAATTCCCCCTTGTTAATATGTCATTACATGTCCATGATTAACTTACAGTATGTTAGGTACTGAAATAAGTCTTGCTCCTCCGAAGTCTTGTGGATATTTAAACATGAGGAAGAAATAAAGATGTCCCACAATGATGCCAACAAGTTCTGTTAGTCCTCTGTAAAATAAAAGATATATTTCTCACAAACTTTATCCAAATATGGCTAAAAGAGCCTTTCAAGCTAAATAAATTCTTTTTTACCTTGAAATCAAAATTTTTTAAAAACAAGAGATGTTTGTAAAACACTTATGCCCCCTCTCCAAAATTGAAATTTTTCCAAGTCCAAGGTCAGAAGCTGACCCAGATATTCAGCTGATAAATCTATATTATAAATTTTATTTCAATATGTGTAACCTCTGCAAAGAAAATGAATGGAAACTGCAAATAAGTGGAATTTTTCTAGGTCCAAGGGGCATAACTCTGACAAAAATGGCGTGATCGTACCCAAAACAGAACTTGACCTAGATATTCAGCTGATAAATCTTTATAATAAATTTAATTTCAATATGTGTAACCTCTGCAAAGAAAATGAATGGAAACTGCAAATAAGTGGAATTTTTCTAGGTCCAAGGGGCAACTCTGACAAAAATGGTGCGAATGTACCCAAAACAAAACTTGACCTGGATATTCAGTTGATAAATCTATATTATAAATTTCTTTTCAGTATGTGCAACCTCTGCGAAGAAAATGAATGGAAACTGCAAATAAGTGGAATTTTTTTAAGTCCAAGGGGCATAACTCTGTCAAAAATAGTGCGATTGTACCAAAAATATACACTTGACCTAGAAATTTACCTGGTTAATCTGTATACCAAATTTCATTTCAGTATGTGCAACGGTTGTGAAGAAAATGAACGGAAACTAAAAGGACCGACATACCGACCGACAGTCAGCAGCAAAGCAATATGCCCTCCCTTCTTCCAAGGGGGGCATAAAAATGCCTTTGACAGCTCCAAAATTTTATTACTATTTCTCTGTTGCTATTTTTTTTAAATATGAGTACTATATGAAATATTATGCATTGTAAGAATTTGAATTTCTTTACTATGGAAAATCATTCTCCACCATGGAAATTACTTAGATTTATAATTCAATATACTGTATCAAGCTAAGCTAAGTTAATGTAAGTCAAAAATTTATATCCACACTTGCAGTAGAAAAAGAGAACTAATAGTATAATCGCAAAACTTACCCTTGTCCAATAATCATATTAAAGGCTAATAGGACCCATGGGAGATACATAGCCTGAAAAATAATAAGCATATTTTAGAATGATGAATACAGAGAACAATAACATAAGAGTAAAAGATTAATTTTTGCAAGATTCTATTGTTCACCTCTTCAGACTCAAACAGAAATATGCAGTATGGTCCAATCAATGAGTTTTGAACTTAATCATGTATATGACCTTGACCTTTGTTCTCATAACCCTCCCATTTGCCATCTCCTCCACCTGTTTGGCAAATACATGTATAAGGAGAGACAATAGAGGTAAGTTACCACATAAAATATTTTACTTATTACATACCAACAGTCTATCTTTTTGACCTTGACCTGTAAATTTGAGTTCCTGACTGTAACCTTCATCAGTGTACCAAAATATCCATATGCCCTTTAGTAAAGGCTTTACCCACACACTCCCTGTCTATTAGCTGTACATTTCTAGATATGTGTTGTACTTTACCCTCATTGAAATATTATATCAATCTGTTTACAGCAATAACAGGCTGAGTAAAGGATATATGGACACTGTGGTTCATAATAATGGACTATCTTATAATATATTTAAAGCCTTATTTTGGTAAAACAAAACAAAAACAAACCTTGAATTGTGTTCCAAACCAGAAAGACACAATCATATCTTTGTTAAGTTGACACCAGACATACAGTACACTTAACACCATGGGATCCATTAAAATCTACAGAACAAAGACAGCACATTAAATAGATATATGTATGTAAAATATATACAGTAAATCATGTTTCCAAGTTTAAAGATCTTTGGATATATATTTATTAATATTGAAGATAAGGTTTGATTTTATCTTTCCAAATTTACTTGCAACTATATGACATTTTCCTCTAAGGCCAAAATAAAAAATACCTTTGTTTCCCCTAACGCGACCGACCCGACTAAAACGCGCCGACTGAAAAGATTTTTTTTAAATAAGATGATGCAAAATTTTTTTTATTGTCAACCAAGTTTTATAAAATACAATTTCATCAAAATCAGTTTTTATCAGAACAACCGACATTGTTCTACTGTGATTTTCAAGCATTTGATGGAAACAAAATAGCGCCCAGATGTGATTACAGAGAAGTTCTTCATAAAACAACGGCCATGTCTCAATCTTATGCCTTTTGCTAACTAGAATTCTTCACTCTTGAAACAATTTGATAATAAAATTTACAATGACTAATTAAGAGTTTCGGAGGTGTCTTGGTGTCTCCATGTGAGTGAATAAATTTTCGAAAGGGATGGTAAACAACGAACAAACGAATCTGTATGTTGAATTTCAGGTACGTAATACATGGAAAGGCCAGCCTCATGAGCAGATGAGAGGCCCACCTAGTGAACACATCATTCAATTTCACTGCATTTTATTTAATTTGAGTTTTTATCTGATAAACAATTCATCTATGTTCCTATGTTAACTTTATGCCATTATGGCATCATAGGAGTTGGTAAATATGTCTGCATATTCATCCTGATAAATATAATTCAGTTGTACTTTTTCATGCCTTCATTTACGGGTTAAACTTCGTGACTATGACATTGTTTTATATAGCATTTTTATCATTTGTAGATTCGGTTTGGTTCATTTAAATATTGTTTAAATACTCTTTCCAAATAGTTTTGAAATCATAATTCAACTTCCTGAGACGTCCAGTGTCATTTTCTTTAATCAGGCCCTTGAAGATTGGTTGTTTCTTTGCTTTTAATCCCTTCGAGATTTGTTGGGACATTTGAACATTTCCCCATTGCTCCAAATTTGGATGTACTATGCACTTTTTTGCCATTAAGCAGTGGGATCTTTTTTGGGCCAGCATCTTCTGCGACACTGGACAAAAGTTTTTATGGTCCCTTTTGAAGGACCGTTTTCAACGTTCCTCATTGGTATTTAAACCTGCGACTTAAAATTAGCCACTTATGTCTTAACTCTAAAGCAAAATGCTCTAGAACCGCTGCAAATCTCATGGCCCTCAAAAAAGTACAATGACTGTCTATAAGCACTGGAGGGTGATTGAAGGTTTGAAAAAATATACTCGGATGTCCAGTCTTTGCGTATTTGAGAATCTTGTCTTTTTTCATTCGATTTATATAAATGTAATAGCGTGAGATATTTCACAAGTTCATCTAAATTACAGTTCTGAATTAATTAATCATGAATTTTGCTTTTAAACGGCATATGTATGATACTTAGCATTTTGTTCACAAATCACTTTCTTTTGTACTTTTCTTATTTATAAATATGTAATTTTCCATTAAATTTTAGAATGTATTTCACAAAGATGCTGTCAGAAAATAAAATTGTTTACCTACCTACCGACCCAACTTGAGAATTTAGGGTCAGGTTAGGGGAAACAAAGAAATTTTTAATTCAAGCCTAATTTATATATTATGAATTAAAAGTACTAACCCACATTTCTGCAGCAAATCCAATTATCTGTTTATAGGGTTAAGGATAAAATTCATAAAAACCAAATTTATGGAATAAGGAAAATGGTTATTGTACAGTAATATAGAACGAATTGTTCTACAGTAACAAAAAAATGATACTACATGTACAATGTACTTGTTATAATTTCAGGAATATTCTTGAAGGATACAACAAGAGACAACCAGTTGAAAATGAGCAGAAATGCCATCTCTGCAGGTTTCCCATCAAATATACCTGGAAAATAAGATGCATGAGAACTTTTAAAAAGAAACCACACATATTTAATGAGTGGAAAAAAAAAACCCAGGAATATCAACAAAAGACAGTACACTGTCATTTAAAATATAGTACACTTAAACTTGTCTATTCTGGATGTTATGTATTCTGAAATCTTGTCTAATATGATGTTAACGTCAAGTCCCTTTCAACAATTTCAGTGATTTTATATGTTGTCGTCTTATACGGCAAATTTCTTTGAAACCAGTGGTGGCCAAATTAAACGTTTTACTGTATTATTATTAACTCTGTAAGAATAGATGGGAATTTTCCAGGAAAATACTGAATATTAAATAGAATATTTTTTTCTTATGACTGTTAACGGTGGAAATAGCTATTACAGTGTATTGATACACGCTAGGAAAAGCTCCGTTAATTTGAAATCAAATTTAAGTTCATTAACCTGTTTCAAGTCTTGTAGAATATGAATATAAGAAATAAAGGTTCATCAGATAGTGGAATCCACTGGGTCCAGATATTGGGTAAAATAAAACAGCTGTCACAGGTCTCCAGATCTGCAATAGAACAAAATAGAACAAAATAAGGAATTCCATGTCTTTGTGAACATTTAAGCTTAACATTCCTTGCTTACTTAGTTGCCTTCAATATACAAATGTATCTCGTCATTATTGTAGATGCTTTATCATATGCAATTACTCAATATCACAAAATATGATTGGTTTTACATGATTTCGGCCACAAAAAATGTGAAATTTTTATTTTGTTAGTCTAAGTGATATTTTTATCAAAACTTCATTGCTTGATTTCATTGGATTTTGTTTAAGTTGACTACGAATCTATCAGATTAATATGAGTTGACTAACTTGACTTGATACAATAAGAATGTAATAAACTTATTAAATTGGAGACATAAATTTATGTCTCTCGGTGAGTTAACCTTACACAAAAGAGAAATTACTAGAATGTAATGGAACACAAAACCATGCAGTTTCCATGAACTAGAATAGTACGACCGTAGTAGTTCCATATGCAGTTTCCATTAACTAGAATATTACGACTGTAGTAGTTCGGGCTATAAAGACCATGAATATTGGCCTGGGTAGCTCAGTGGTAGAGCACCTGACTAGTAATATAGGGATCCCGGGTTCGATTCCCGGTCGAGCAATATATTTTCTAAAAATGTATATCTCTTTTCTTACTGCAAGACAATTTACTTCCCTCGGAATATTTCTATGCGTTCTAGTGAGCTTAAACCATAAAGCCATCACTTTTTTGATTTACCTGGAATTTATAAAACACACTTTCGAATATAAGAATAAGATTCCTAGGGTTAATTAGTCCAAATCTTGCTACCAGTGGAACCACCACTGAACCGGTAAACCAGTATTTTGTCATCTGAGGAATTCCTCGATACCAGTCCCCTATATCGTTTGATGCCATCTTTCTTCTTAGTTAATTTCTGACGCTACAACGTCTTTTTAAATGTACCAAATCACACAATCTACAAAAAAATAATTATCTGACGTGTCCTAAACCAAAACAAACTTGGTTTCAAAACCGGAAGTACCATATGTAAAATTTAGTAATTATATTTGCTAAAACGAAAAAAAAAATCAAATTTAATAATTGCTATGAATTTAATATAAATTTTATTTATGTGCATTTCAGATGCATATTTATCTTAAAATATTTTCATATAAATAAAAATTAATTTAAAGACAAAATTTTAATATTCGTTTTGCTATTTCAAATGTTATTTATAGCGCGTCAAATTCAATAACATGTTTGGTCTCGAATGAAAACGGTAAAAATGATGTTGACATATGTACAGTAAATTCATGTAAAGCATGTAAGTACTTTATTTTTTAAATAATGTTGTATTTGTTTGAAATTGAAGTTTGAAATATAGCATGATTGATTTTGAAACGACGATTTTAAACAACCCCCTGACATCATTTATTTAAATTTTGAAAAATTAGTTACCTCTCTACAAAAGTGTTGCTCTAAGAGAAGCTAATTTTCCCTATGCTGATGGTTGCAAATCAATATTGTAAAATATTCTTTTCATTGCTATATCTCTTACTTTGACTGCAGATTTTACTTCTAAATGTCTTTAGTTTACAAGTACCATAGATAACCATAGACATGATAGAATGACAAACAAATGATATTGTGCTGCTGCTGCAACTTATAATTATGCTGAATTATATTTTTATTTTACTTCTTTTTATAGAGAAGAAGGGTACCAAAGAAGATGCAGTCTTTAGATGTTTGTAAAAGAACATCAGGAAAAATTTGGCACAGAAAACCAACTCCATCAACTGACAATGGGTAAATTTACATTTAACATAACGGCTGCTGGAAGAGTGCTCAAATTCAAATCCTATATATACCCCAAGAAAGATGAAACAATTATTATAAAAAAAAACAGCTGGAAGACTGATAATTTTTTTTCAATATTAGCAAGGACCGGAATTGTTAAAATGTTTTGTTAATGAAATCTTTAGCTCAATATATGTCTACTTTTATAGTGATAATAAGCTATTCACTGTATTTCTTCATAAACGCACACCAAGGGAGATAATCACGAAACTTGCATATTGAATTTCCTTTTTCTAGAGTGAGATGGCAAAAAGTGAATTAGTTCTTTTGACTTTGTAGGTTAATGGTTTCAATAACCAACAGTCAGTCTGGACCTTTATCACAGAATGGAAGGAGTATAAGGTTTTTACACACATCATTTGATAACACCGGAGATTGCTTCATAGCGGGAGATCACCAAGGGAACATATTTTTATTTGACCTCAACAAAAACAGGTACAGTTTTAAAAAAAAAATCATTTTGCATATTTCCCTATAGACCTACATTGAAGCAAAGTTTAGATTCATATTCTGTAACATCTTGATTTAATAAATATACAGCTGCATATAAGTTAAATGCTATTCTGAGTGCCTATTTTTTTTTTTATTATTTTGATTTTTCCAATAGGTTTGCTCTCACACAGAAATGTGGCCATCCATGTACAGCACTAGCCTACAACTTGCGCAGAAAAACAGAATTCCTTGTCGGCTTATCAGACTATTCATTGAAATGTTTTGATACAGGTACATGAATATACATTTTCGTGAATTAAGATTAATCCTGAATGTTGTAATGTTAACAATAAAACTGTAAGCTGTATAAAATATTTAGCATATTTATGGCTAAATTTAATAATTGTCCAATTACTATAATAAAGTATTATTTATATGTGTATATAAAATGTTAAAATTAAGTAAGAACTTGATGATAAAATCTTTTAGATACAAAGGAGATGGTAGCCTGGATGAAGGGCCATGAGTCTGCCATCAGCAGTATATCAGTCCATGCCTCGGGGAGGTACGCCCTCACAACTTCCTTTGACGTCGCACAGCTCTGGGATTTAGACACCTTCCAGCGCAAACGAAAACTAAATATCAAGGAGGACGTAGGCATTGTGCAGGTATTTATATTATAGTTACTCTAAACATTTTACATTTAAATTGGAATTTACTTACAGCAAGTGCATTTTAAAGGTTGTGTTTCTACATGTATCTCAGAATATAAAATTTCATTATTTTGTTTTTGTAATAAAAAGTCTTTACACTGATGTTCTATAATAATTGAAAAATCTTTAAAAAGTTCTTAAGACAGGCCAATTTAGGAATGGAATCATTCTCCTTTCATATACATGTATATTATATAAGATGTAAACAGACTGCAGTAACAATATACATCATATTTTTGTTGTATTCCAGGTGTTTTTCCTGCCCCTGAGTAACACCATCATCACCGGTTTTAAGGATGACACAATATTTGGATGGGAGTCTGACACCCTCAACTGTAAATACCAGCTCCCTGTTCCTCCTGGCAAATCCCCCCACTATAAGGCATATGCTCCCACAAGGTATTTTGTTCATTTATTATGTTATGGAAGAAATTGGATTGATTCACATGTATGTATGCGTTCTGATGATGGAAATGTTGATTTAATGTTTTCCTTTCATCTTCCATATCATAGGGATGGAAGACTTTTGGCAGCTGGAGGAAGATCCCGGTTTATTCATCTCTGGGATTTAGACACTCATAGACTGCTAAGGATTATAGAGTTACCAATTAAAGTCACTACAGTCAAACAACTTGTGTTTCTACCTGATAACTTTGATGCAGGAGCTAGTCAGGTTTGACACTAAACTGTTTAATTAAACATAATTGTAATTTTATCTCAAGGTTTCAAAACAAACATTTTTTAAAAACATACATATTTGTGTATACATAGCCAATTTGTCTTTATGATAAAACAATTTTTTGGATTATGAAAAATCAGATCGTTCTTTTATTTCAGACATTGGGAGTTTTAAGCCAGGATGGAATTATTCGGTTTATCAATATCAACACTTGTAAGCTTTTGTTTGATGTGGGAGGGGTGGAGAACAGAATTAACAATGTGACGGTCAGTCCCGGGGGGCGGTATCTAGTGGCGGTCATGGAGGACGGGAGTTTACATGTCTACAATCTGCACACCATGTCTGATGAACTCAGCAAGGTAATTTGTTGATCCCTTGTTTTGTATGGCATCATGTACTGTTGTGGGTCAGTGGTGGATTCAGATTCGAAACAAGCACTAATTAGTAATAAACAAATCAGAAATGTACAAGACTTATATGTATACATCTAGTTTTAATTAGATCAAGCATCATGCAATGTGCAATCATTTCATGATAAGAAGTTCTTTACAGCCTCCAGCTCCTCTGGTCAAAGTGGTCACCAACAACAAGATGTCGGAGACAATGTCCACTGAGCGGTCATCCATACTCAAGAAAAACCGGTCATTATCAGCTCCAGCCAGGGGTAAAGAAAACCGCCTAGAGGACTCAGATATAGAGGTCAATGTCATTAACTACTTTCTACATAAAAGAAGAATTAATTTTAAAAAGTTAAAAGAACCAGCATGTTCTCTCTGATCGTATTAGTTATGTTAAATCTAAGTTTCGTACTCCATATGAAGATTTTTTTTAGTGTAACAAAGAATTTCTGAAAATGATATTTAGCACACTTTGGATTTTGTTACATTTGAGATCATTGTAAAAACAGTTTAAATTGTGTGTTAGATGATTAAAAAAAATAATTTGATGTATGTCTGTTGTAGAAGGAACTTCCAGAAACATTAAATGCTGACAGATTAAAGGCCATATTAAAGGGATACGGAGAATACCCAGCTAAATATAGAATGTTTATTTGGAGGTCTATTCTGCGATTACCAGAGAACCACACGGCATATGCTGCCCTTGTTGACAAAGGCACACATCCAGCATATTCCAAAATTCACGAAGACTACCCTGTCAAAAGCAGGAAACTGTTACGCATCTTGCAGAGGTATGCATAAACTTTTTTTTTTAATTGAACTTAAACCTCAATACACAATGTTTGTCAATGATTACACTTCTGATGTAAGCAAAGCATCAATCTACAATCAGCTTTTTCTGAAAGTTGGTTTTCGGAATTTAAAAAGCTGCAATGTATTTTTATACAAGTTGATACCCTTACTTTGACTACAAATGCTCAGAAAAGATATACATGTAAACGAATGTTTTTATATCTTGTAGTGTAGACTTGTACACATACATAGTAAATGCTAATATTCATTAAGATATAATGTATACATGTAGACTATAGATTTTGTACAATATATGTCCTTACTATTGTATTTTTCAGGATATTATCTGCCCTTGCTCACTGGTCCCCGATCTTTGGAGAAACCCAGTACCTTCCTGTCTTAGCATTCCCATTTGTCAAACTGTTCCAGAATAACCATCTTGTTTGTTTTGAAATCTTAGCATCATTTATGGGTAGGTATTTTTCATAATGCATTCTAAAATGTCTTGTCAAAAGTATTGCACATAAAACGTAATGAAAATTTTGAGAGCTATATCTCTTGAGATGCAAACAAGCTGTAGCTTTTTTAAAAAAAAATTGAAAAGTAGGTCAAATTTCAAGGTCACAGGATCAAAAATTATTTAAGAATAGGGATGAAAGATTAATTTAATCTTTTAAACTCAATTTTCTGAAGGATGGCAGGATCAAGGGGACTTATGTAAATCTATAGCTACCTTGTTTCTTGTATTGTGGTTGTTAGGGAGAGGATGATTTTTTTAATATATGATTAGAAAAATTTAAGGAGGGGGACTTATCAACATAACAGTGTAAAGCATCTATGATGTAGGGATATCATTGTTACTTTTTCCATTTCACAATCCTGTCCTATTACCAACCATTTTTTATAATTTTAATTTTTTTTTATTATATTTCAATTTTCTTTTGCAGTAAACTGGGGAGAGCATTGGTTTGAGTATTTTCCTAATCCACCCATCAACATTCTAGCCATGATTGAAAATGTCCTAGCTCACCATGATAAATACTTACTACAGCACTTTGTTAAGTACGGGGTCACATCACAGGTAAGTTCGTATATCTCAGGTGATTAATCAGGTGTTAGCAACAAGTACCCGATAACGTTATTTCATGTTTCAAGTATTCAGAACC